ATTTTATTAAAGATGAAAGAATTTAGACAGTTTTTAACTCTCAGTGATGCTGCAGTGTTCGTTTGACTTTGGGACCTGAAACAGACGGAGTTTAGGACCCAGATTCCTCTGCGAGGCTCCTGACTACGGCAGCTGTAATGCTCCAACAATCCATCAAGCGGTGCGGCTTCGTAGCTTAGCAAAGTCATGCTAAAACATTTTTTGACAGATTTTTGAGCGCCGTGTAGCACAGAAAATTGGTTCGAGGTCGGTAAGCACAACCAGAATTCATACATAAGGCGACTGATGATTTTTGAGAAAATTACAGGATTTTTAGTGCAGACAATGCAGCACTCTTTAATTGTGCTTTGTAACCACAATGACTTCGCACACTTCATTTAAGAGAGCCCCACAAAAGCACTGGATTGTGAAACCTAAATGTTAGGTGTGGCTACTGTGCCACTACAGCAAAATTTACCACAAGAAAAAAAAAAAGCTTGTATGGATGTGTCTGAAGGCCTGCTGACGACCTTGAAAACATCTGTCTCTTCTTTTACTGTAAACAGGTAAATCTAATCTTTGACCTCAGAGGCCTCAACATTTATTTCTCCTTAATTCCTTTTTCAGTTAGGCCGCTTATCCATTAAGTGCTCGTATATCAACGAGCTGCATCTGAGTGCATCCTGAGTGAGTGGACTGTCATAGTCATGTGCGCTTCATCTCTTCACCACAGAAGTGTTTAAAAAAGAAATTTGAGTGGTTGCTGTGGCACCCAAGTGGAAACAAAACAGATGTAAGCCGATGCAGGCAGTGTGTATGTGATCGAGGGGCCTCTGAGATATAAGCTAGACGTGTGGCATGATGCTCCTCTGCTGTTCAGTGATATAGGTTAAATAAACTCCCCGGGACAACTGATGGCTTGCTGTGACATCACTCAACTGTTGGAGGAGATATTTCTGGCACGAGTGCTGGAGGTTCAAGGTGGCCTTGAAACGTTTTCTTTTTTTTTAAATGTAAGATTTGATTGTATCATCATGGAATAAAGTGCTGTGGCTAAAAGGAGGGGACTGTTCAAGGCCAAATATAGAAGTCAGAGCGAGAGATCATGGGAGAATGTAATGGGCTTTCTAATGTCCTGTCTTTGCCCCATTTCATCCAGATGTTTCAGTAACGTGTTTGCTGTTTCTTGCCACCCGCATCTCATCTCCTGTCTTTCCACACGCTTTACATATTAGCGCACATGCCTGTTATCAGGGAAAACTGCCCACTCTGTGTCCAGATGAGTAATAGTCTGAAGGGGAGAATAGCACTGTGTCATGGCAAAAGAATGCAGACTTCTTCTGTAGGTAATATTTCTATCTCCTGTAAACATGGAGACTGTGCACATGTGTCAGAGTTAAATGCGACGGTGCCGGCCCACCATATACTACGTGTAAGGTCACATGTGGCTCAGTACAACGTGGTAGGTTGTCAGGAGTTAATGACACAGCATGTGGCTCCCTTGTCTTGCAGCTGAGATATCAACATGGACTGACCACCCCAGACCTGCAGCAGACGCTACCCAACCTGAAGAACTTCCTGGAACATGGGCTGATGGTGCGATGGTAAGAATGACGCAGACACTTTCTACAGTGGGTGCTAAAGATGATTCAGAAATCTGCTCTGTGTTTGCAGGAGACACATGCAGCGTCACACGCAAGCTGTGTTTAGCTAGATTCAAAGTATAGGCCATGCTCCAAGTTAATCGTTTGTAGTTTACTAAGCAGGGCCAATGGACATGGACAGTCTCAAACACGCTAACTTTGGAGTCAACATTTTCGCTGGAGATCTGCTAACAACGCACACATTTCTAAACACACAAGCTACCAATTTACATAATAACCAGCACATTTTTCAAAAGCTGAACTATTAGAAAAAGGACAAAGTCTTCAGTCTGACACTTTTCAAACACTTTTGTCCCTGTTAGTGATTTTAACCATGAAATGGGCTAATGTAGGCTAATAGTAGCACTGCTGCCAAAACAAACAGACTACTTGTGAATTAGTCAGCTAATTAGCAATAGTGCCATTCATGTTTTGTGTCTTAAACCAGCGTCCCCAACCCCCGCTCCATGGACCGGTATCGCTCCGTGAGTCGTTTGGTACCGGGCCGCAAGAGTTGACGCTCGGGTGTGACATTTATGGTTTTCAGGGTTTTTATCATTAACTTAATTTCCCTGGCTCTTTTCCCGCATGTTATGATTAAATCGGGGGGTTTTTTTGGTACCGGTTTTATTTTGTTGTATTTATCCGCGACACCTTAAAGGCCGGTCCGTGGCAGGGTTTTAATAGTTTTGCAATTTTCATTAGTTTTTATTTTTATTTAGTTTTGACTTCAGATTTTCAATTTTATATCAGTTTTAATTAGTTTTTACCAATTGTTTGCTAGTT